ATGACAAAATAATAATTTATAAATTATCAAGGGTTCATGGGGGGGGGTGGCAGGGGAGGGAGGAGAAAATATGAGGAGCTGATACCCAGGGCTCAAGTAGAAAGCAAATGTTTTAAGGATGATGATGGAAACAAATATACAAATGTGTTTGACACAATGGATGAATGGATAGATTGTGATGAGTTGTATGAGCCCCTAATAAAATGATTTTTTTAAAAAGAGTTGTATGAGCCCCCAATAAAATGATTTTATTAGGGGATTATACAACTCTTATCACAATCCATACATACATCAATTGTGTAAAGCATATTTGTACATTCAGATTTTTTTTTTAAGACATAAAGAAAGGGTCGTGGCATTAGGAAGGTTGAGAACCACAGGTCCAGAGCCACAGTTTGCTGTTTCAGAAACTGAGATGCGAAACCCGAAAGCTAATGTTGTTGTTGTTATCAGCTCTCACCGGCACTTACCGTGGGTCTGGGCGTTTAGTACATCTGTTGAAAATAACGTGCGCGCTTCTGTTGAAAATAACGTGCGCGCTTCTGTTGAAAATAACGTGCGCGCTTCCGATACTTTGTACCCTTCTCTACTGGTTCAAGTTCAGAATTGACATCGTCATAGGGCCGCAGTACGTTCTCCGGCCACAAGGCGTCGCTGGAGAACACTGAGCTCCAGCCTGACACCAGCGACCAGTGAGCTCAGCTGGAGGAACCCTGGCGGTGCCACACCAAAGTGCTGGTGCTTGTCCGGGGAGGATGCCAAAGGGGAGACCCCAACCCAGTGGCTCAAGTCTCTGTCTGGATGTGTGCATGGGCAGGAGTATGGGGTGGGGCAGGGAACCTGCTAGAGCAATCCGAGTCCCAGAGGAAAGCTTTGGACAACGATACCGGCCCTGGCACATATTGTCACTCGGGAAGCTGGGGTGCCCTCACACCCCTGGATGTGATTTCCTGTCACCCCAAAGCTTCTGATGAAATAATGATGGCCTCGTTCTGATGGACCCCCTTATCAGGAAGATGTGTCTAGGTTTGGTTTGGTTTTCTAATTCTACAGATCGAATCAGGAGCCCTGGTGGCGTAGCGGTTACACATTGGGCTGCGAACCACAAGGTTAGCAGTTTGAAACCACCAGCCGCTCCACAGGAGGAAGGCAGGGCTTTCTGCTCCCATAGTGAGTTACAGTCTAGGAAGCTCACAGGAGCAGGTCTATCCATATAGGTCATTATGAGTCAACATCCCCTCAATAGCAGTGGATTTGGTTGAACAGGTCAAACACCAACAGATGAACAGATTCACCAACGTGTGAAAATAGTGGGTTGCTGTGATTCTAGGCTCTAAGAGCCTTCTGTCATCCGCTACCGGTTCTCCGGACCAGATCTGTGCAAAGTCTGTGCTGGAGAGCGTGGGCCAGAGAGCGTGGAGATCTGGTTTCTGCCCTCACGTAGCTCTCGGTCTGGTGGGAAACCAGTTGATAGAGACCCTAGAGGAGCCACCTGAGTTCATGGCCCAGGAATTATGTATTTTGCCCAGCGGAGACATGGAAGCTTACCCAAAGGACAGGCTCAGAAGCTAAACACCCCTCATCGTGTGACCTGGGAGGAGACCTGGTGGTGTCTGGGTCATGGGGTTGTGTTGCTAACCCGGGGCTTCCTACTCCCCTAAAGATGTGCAGCCTCAGAAACACACAAGGGCCATTCTACGCTGTCCGTTAGGGTGGCTCTGAGTCAGAACAGGCGTGCTGGCCGTGAGTTGGGTGTGGTTTGGGGGCAAGTCTTTCAAGTTCGCTGAGTCCGTTTGCTCGTTTGTAAACGGACTCGTTTCCAAAACTCAAGCCAACGAAGCCCCGTGGCCCCCAACAGTCTGAGCCACGACCGACCTCGTGGAGGGCTCAGGACCCACCAGGTTCGGTTCCCTTGTGCGTGGGGTTACCAAGGGTCAGGCACGGGCTTGATGACAGCTATCAACATGCCTAGTACAAAGAGGATGCTGTGGGGCTTAGAAAGAATGCAAGGGAAGGGAGGGTCACATCCTACAGAGCGGCTTCAATGAGTTCTAGGGAGATTGAGAAGCAGATGACCCCCGATGAATGTTGGAGGATGGGCAGGGACTGACCATGCAGACCAGGAGGGACGAGAGGAGCACGAGAGAGCAGGTGCCACGTGTGTATGGGGTCAGAGACCAACAGGGTGGAGGGGGCAGCTGAGGAGGTTGATCAGGGCCTTAAAAGCCAGGCCAGGAGGTTTCTGAGCAGGGGAGGCCCGGGGTCCTGTGAGCGGGTTCAGAAGAGATTTCTTTTGGAATGGTGATACTGGTAAAGGAAGACAGTGGTGGGTGTAAGACATGAAAAACAGTAACAATTTATAAATTATCAAGGGCTCATGAGGGAGGGCAAGTGGGGGCGCGGGGAAATGAGCTGATACCAAGGGCTCAAGTAGAAAGCAAATGTTTTGAGAATGATGATGGCAACAAATGTACAAATGTGCCTGACACATGGATGGGTGTGATAAGAGCTGTAAGAGCCCCCAATAAAATGATTAAGAAAGTAAAAAGAGGAGTTACCTGCGTCTCAGAAACCACGGGGACAGTTCTACCCTGTCTTATAGCATCGCTGTGCTCGGTGTGAGTTAGATGATGGCAGGTGAGAGAGGATGCTGAGATTCGGGAAACGTGGGGGGTTCGGGGTTCTAGAGTTCCAGGACTTGATGCCTTGGGGTGAACTCGGGTCCCTTGTTATCCGTGAGCTGCTGCGAGCCCAGGCCAGGCCCTCTGAGACAAACGCCGTCCCCGGATCCCTGGGCCCAGCTGGAGCACGGGGTCCTTGCGCCCCCCACCCCCACCCCCATGGCAGGAACCAGAGGGGTGCCTTTGTCCTAGGGCGGCCGGCTGGGCGGGACGGAGGCCGGCGTGGGGTGCGGTGCGGAGGGCGGGGAGTCCCAGGCCCCACCCTGGCAAACTTCCTGGGCGGCGCGGCGTGGGGGCAGCTCGGTTGAGCCGCCACGGACCCCGGCGCCATGGGGGACGTCCGCGAAGCCATCCTGGAGGCACTGGAGAACCTGACCCCCGAGGAGCTCAAGAAGTTCAAGCAGAAGCTGCTCTGGGTGCAGCTGCCCGAAGGCTGCGGGCGCCTCCCGCGGGGCACCCTGCAGTCCATGGACGCGCTCGACCTCACCGACAAGCTGGTGTGCTTCTACCTGGAGGACCCCGCCGCCCAGCTCACGGCCACCGTGCTGCGCGACATGGGCATGCAGCAGACGGCCGAGCGGCTGCAGCGGACCCTGCGCCGGGGTGAGTGCCCCCGGGGCCCTAGGGGCGGCTGGGCCCCCGGGACCAACCCCGTCACCCGCCCTCCCCAAACGTTTTCCCCTTTTCGATTTCAGTTCCTCCTACCGTCTGTAAAAATACAAACCAAAAAAAAAACAAACAACTGGGCTCCTTCTGCTAGCAAGGAAGGTTCCTCTCCCCTGCCGCTGACCTTGGCATTCCCACCCCCCACCCCCGCCTGGGCCGGGACCTCGAGGCGGGCGGAGATACGAGAAGGGGGCAAAGGGGCACTTCACTCTCACTTGCAGGCCCTGGAGCCCAGCCAGCTGCCCCAGCGTGTCCAGTCTCGAGGCAGGTGACAGCCCAGGCAGGTGAGGCCGCCACCCCCTAGCTCCAGGGCCTGGGCTCCTCCCTCCCTCGGCGGGCGCCACTTCCTCTCCCTCGCGTGGGCAGGGGCGGGAAGGGGGATAGTTCGACCTGGGGTCCTGGTGGGATTCCCCTTAGGGTTGTCCTCCGAGAAGGGACTGGGGGCAATTGCGCAGCCCAGGTGGCCCCTGCGGGGCGGGCGAGCTCACGCGCGCGCTCTCCTCCCTGGCCCCCGCAGGCCCGCACTTTGTGGATCGGCACCGGGCAGCCCTCATCTCGCGGGTCACGGCCGTGGGCCCAGTGCTGGATGCCTTGTACGCCCACGCGCTGACGGACGAGCAATACGAGGAGGTGCGGGCAGAGGCCACCAATCCCGCCAGGATGAGGAAGCTTTTCAGTTTTGCTCCTGCCTGGAACCTGACCTGCAAGGACCGGCTCCTCCAGGCCCTGAGGGACACCCAGCCCTACCTGGTGGAGGAGCTGGAGAGGAGCTGAGGTGTCTGTCCTCCCCAGGAGCACCCTACCTCCACCCCAGCCCCTGGCCATTCCAGATCGCTGAGTCTGTAGACATAATATACGGAAAACCAGCTGACCCTTGTGTGTTTCCTACTTTCCAGCCTGCAAGCCCCGCAGTGACCACCCCCACCACCCCCACCACCTCCCCGGGAAGTCCTGAGGCAGCAGAGCCTCCCTCATCTTGGCATCTGCCCCCCCAGATCATGGTGTTTCAGTCACCCTGAAATATTTCTGCCTCGTTCGCCATTTGGTGGCTCCTCCAGTGTACCCCTTGCGATTTTGGTGTTGACAGCCATACAGCTCCATTCTAGGCAGAGACAGGCACACAGCCTGCAAGCGGAGAGGGCAGCCTCTCGAGGCCTTTAAAAAGGGCTAGTTAGACTTGGAACTGACTAGGAGCAGAGTGGTTAAGAGCAAGACAGGGACAGGGTAGAACTGCCCCTGTGGGTTTCCGACGAACTCTTTACAGGAGTAGAAAGCTCCATCTTTCTCCTGGAGCCCTGGCAGTTTCCAACTGCCCATCTTGCAGCTAGCAGCCCAAGGCATAACCACTGCACCACCTCTTCTCAGTCTGACACTCACAGGGGCAGTGCTACCCTGGCCTGTAGGGTTTCTGTGAGTCAGCAACAACTCTAAGGCAATGAACTTAGTTTCTAGATTTGGGGGGCTGGCTTCTTTTTCCTGGGAAGTCGAGTCAGAGGTGTGTGACATGGGACAACAGAACCCAACGAGTACCCGTTCTCACGTTCCCTCTGACAGACATCAGCAGGCTCAAGGGCTCCTCTTCCTCACGCCATCCTAGAGAAACGGGTTGCAGCTTGCCTTTCCGGGAAAGAATCCCCACCACAGCCAAAGCAAGTGTTCAGGAAATGGATTCTAGTGTCTGTTTCTTTTCTCGATGGCATTTTTGGCCCAGAAGGAAAGATCGGAGTGCTTCTTCCCTATGGGAGATAGCACCCAAGGGCCTTTGCCAGGAGCTCTTGCTGGGTCCCCGGCCCTAAGGTTCCTTCTGAGCCCAGCAGGCACCCGGCTGCTTCCTGGCCTTCAATGGAGCGAGGGGGGGTCTGCAAAGCAGCCAGCCATCAAAGGAACACCAGATTTTGTCTTTAGAATGCAGGGTGTAGGGAAGGACGGCTGTGTGCCATTTGCAATGCTACAAGCCCACACTGAACATGTACCCAGCTCACCCCCATCCCCACTGTGCAGACGGATGTCTCACAGGAAGGCACTGCTTTCTGTAACCCTTTCTGTTCTAAAGAGCCCTGGTGGTGTGTTTACACATTAGACTGTGATCCTCAAGGTCAGAAGTTTGAAACCATCAGTGCCTCCGAGGGAGAAAGACGGTAAACTCGCAGGGCAGTTCTACCCTGTCCTCCAGGGCCACTACGGTATCACCATCGACTCGATGGCATGGAGTTTGGTTTTGTGGTTGGACTGTTCAAAGCCATCACTCCTGGGCCTGGACTCTCTTACAAGCAGGTCTTCTATGTTCTCCTGCCAGGCCAGGCCTTCATGATCCTACGCAAGTCCTTCAGCCCACAATCCTGCCTCCACGCACTTGCTCACACCTCTGCTTCCTTCCTTCACACAAGCAGCTTGTTTCCTGAGCTCTCTGTATGGCGCCATCTCCTTACCGATCCCAGCACACCAGTAGGGGTGCCTTCCTCTGGCCTCCAGTGGCACTTCCCAGAAGTAAAGCAGTGTCATGGTCAATTTCTCCATAGGATTACCTCATGGGACAGAGCCCTGACCTGTTCATGGGAATGTAAGTGCTTATCACGATCTTTCTCTAGCTCCTCACAGAAAGGACTGATGGGATGTGCAAGCCTTAGGTAACAGGATAGTGCACAGTGGGTCTGCCAGAGCAGCAGCTGGACACGGACACACACACACAA